CCCCCCCCCCCCCCCCCCCTCCTGCTCCACGGTCCCAGACTATGTCACTCAAGTGCAAGCCTGGTAAAGTAAAGTCGTCCATCTATCTACCCATCTTCACATGCACAACTGTTAAACAAAGAAATAATACTCTTGGGAATGAGATGTGGTCTTAAATAGGAGAACATTGTACCTGGCTGCATTGATTAATTAGGTCCATTAAGTTCAATAATTATTGATGGTCTGGAGTTTGAGTATTTTTTCTTTCTTTTCACAGGTTGGTGCTGAAGTTGTTCTAGCCGACCCAATCAAGGGCTGTACAAGCCTTAAGAATGAAGAAAGTGTAAAACACAGAATTGCAATCATGGAAAGAGGAGATTGCATGTTCATAGACAAGGTATCTTAAAGAATTTACATAGGCACATAAGCAAAAGTTTCTATTTCTATTACTGGTAACTACCATCATCATTGTTGCTGCATGATAAAGAGCTATTCTCTAGCCTAGAATATTTCATTCATTAAAATTATGATACAATAATATTATGTTTAATTTAATTTACAACAAAAACTCCCTTTAAGGGATTATTCTGGGAGGTTCTCTTCACACACACTACCATTACATTCATCATTTACAGCAAGATCTCATCTCACGATGTTGATTTTTATGGAAGGGGGGAAACTTGGAGAAYCTGGAGAAAAATGCTCTTGGAAAGGGGAAGAACAATAAGGGGCTCTTCTGTGAGGTTTGCTCCACATGCACTACCATTTTCACTACATTCATTATTTACCACACATCACTCATCTCACTTTGATTTTCATGGAGGGAAAAAAACTGAAGAAGACAGGGAGAGAACAACACATTAAACAAACTCACATACTGGTATTTTGCTTAGAGCTAAGAATCAAACCSGCAAAAGGTCCTCCCAGGCATGAACTACACAGGCTTTAAAGACAGCACCATACCAGCCCATGCCACCCATCATTGATATTAAAACTTGTTGATCTTAACAGGTTCGTATGGCAGAGAAGGCAGGAGCTGTAGCAGTGATTATTATTGGTAAGGAAGGACTGTGATTCTTGCTAGAATTTATTTGTTATTTCCTGTGCCTTTATTCAACTTATATTCCTTTACCATTGAATCCATTTCACTTCAAAACACCAGAACTGCTACACTTAACTGTGCAATTCTGGAAAATGTGACAACATTATCCGAACAAAGAAATAATATTCTTGGGAATAAAATTGTCTGAAATTGGTATTACGTAACCTCCATTTTGGCAAGTGGATTTGGACCATTTTAAATTTTGAGAATTGTCTGTTGTTATTCTGCCAATCATCTCTCCATAAACTTGTCATACTTTATCCTCCCTTCTGTCCACCTTCCCCTGTACTATCATCTATTTATTCTATGACACAAACATATGCATGAAAGGCTAGCATAAGTCTTATACTTGTACCCATATAGCAGTTTTCAGACGGTGTAAAACACGCTGCATAAACACGGTCATTACACAGCAAGGCATACACCAGACCAATCACATTGTGTGAAAATTTACACCCCATTCTGTTGAATGCCTGAAACATGACATGAACATGACATGAACATGGTCTTGCCAAGATCCCGGCACTGCCAGACCAATCACATTGTGTGAAAATTTACACCCCATCCTGTCGAATGCCTGAAACATGGCATGAACATGACACAAACATGAAAGCATCACAGACACAGCAAGGCACACATACAGCACTGAGCTTTTCATAGTCATAAAGAAAATGCTCTAATCCACTGCAGTGAAGCTTAGGACTTCAATGAATTAATCCCATTGAATCATTGTTCACTAGACAATAATGATGGCAGCTCAAGTGATACTCAGCCCATCTTTGCCATGGCTGGTGATGGCACCAGCAATGATGTGAAGATTCCTGCAGTCCTTCTCTTTCACCAGGAAGGAATGATTCTCAAAAGAGCCATCTCATTCCTGGAAGATAAACAACAAACCCTTAAAGTCAGGCTGGCATCTAAAGCTGATGGTGCAGGTATGCTAAGCTGTTAAAAATCAACACTTCCATATGCACTTCCAGTACATTAAGTGACTCGGTGTCAGACGGATGACAGATCAATAATTGATTATTAACACTTTCATATACACTTTTAGACAGAAACTGACTGACTTATTGACTGGTTGACTGACTGACTGACTGACTGACYGACTGACTGACTCACTGGCTAACTGACTCACTAATGATTAACTGACCAACTAATCGGCTGACCAACCAATTGGCAAAGTGACTAACAGTTTAATAAACAAATAACTATGGATGGATAAATGCAGGAATAAGTGGCTGAATGGATACATGTTATCTTTTATCCCATTGTTAAAACCATACAGCTCCAAAGAAAAGTTCTTCAGATGAAGGGGAAAGACCAGGTGTACCCGTAGAAAAAGATATTATAGATGAATCAACCCATCAAGGCAAAACCAAACCAGATGACAATCAACAAGGACAACAAAAAACTGCAGATCTAACCCAGGAAGATAAAGAACTAATGGATGTGATTCAAAATATGAAAATATCGGTGGCAGAATTAGAAAAACACTCACAGGTACAAAAGTCTTCCTAACATCATTCCAGTAAAAATCTCTTTAAAAACCTAGAATCAAAAGATAAAGAGTGACTTTTGAAAATAGCATTATCTTTCCCTCTTTTCCTCATCAAAAGCTTGTCTCACTTGAAAAAAATCCTTTGCAAAGGGGGAGGAGGAGTGGGGGCTGTTTTGACCCTTCCCTAAATCCACTTTTGCATGTTGGCTTAGCTTGATATTCTTTATTTTCCGACCACTTGTTATTCTCTTCTCTTTGTTTGAGTTGTATCCATACTCATGTGTCTTCTCATGTGGAACCGTTAAACAAAGAAATAATACTATAGGGAATGATAACAAGTCCGGCTCCAGCCAAAATTTTAGGGGGGGCTAATTAAGTTTCTTTCATCAACACAACGGAAAACAATAAAAAAAGCATTTAATTCTTCAGTTTTGTTTTGTTTTGTTTTCTGCTGAAGGGGGGCTTCAGCCCCTCTATGCCCCCCCTGGATCCGCTCTTGGATAAGTGGTCTGAAATGAGAAAACATTAGCCCGAGGTTAAATGGCCTATTAATAGTTCTAGACAAAATGTTATGGACTTATGTATTTTACTTAATTTCTCTAATAGGTTTTGACCAAAGAAATGCTTATGAAACTTCAACATAAACTACTGAAGATAAAAAGAGGTGGTGGCAATAAGGATATAAATGGATATTATGAAGAACTCAAATCTAAATTAATAACACTGAAAGATAATGAAGTATTGTGTGCAGCCACAGGCAAGGCTTGCAGCAAGGAAGAGACTGTTAAAAATACCGGTGGATCTACTGATGATACCACACAACAAATATATGAGAACTTAAATCATAAAAATATTGAACAAACGACAGATAAAGAACAAGAAACTATGAGTAAATTGGAACCAGAAAGTATATCTCAAAGAACAGGCTCAGATCATACAGCTGATTAATTTAATGTTTTTAAAAAGTTCATCTTTGGTTATTGTTCATGGTGCAAGGAATATCGTCGAACTTGTGACGATTCTGAGTGACAGGAATCCAAGATATGCTCCTGGAAAAAATGAATATTATACTTTTAATAGAAAATTCTCAAAATGGAAAACATTTCCACAGAAAGGATCCAAGATTAATTAGCAAGTGGAGAATTTCCAGAAAATGAATTTTTCCCTATACGTATATTATGATGTCCATAGCAAACTGAAAAACAACTTATTCTTATTTAGGACAAGAAAGTTCAAAATTAAAAATTAAAATATATTTATATTTTTAATGACATACTTTATGAGAAGTAAGGTAATTTTGGTTCCCATTCAAGAAGTCTGTGGAATGCAGTTTGACATCAACATGAATGTGGTGAAAATCCTACTCAGTCTTATATTCCCAGCTTGAAAGTGATTGCCACTCAACAGACAATGCCCAGGCAAAATTGGAAATCTGCAAGCCAAACCCGTCTTTGGCTGGTCCTTTTGACTGGTCACATTGATCAGAACAGTGTGGCCAGGGACATTGTGTTTGGCCATTGAGTAAACATGTTTTAGACCTGCATTTATTAGAAAACCGCCATCGTGAAATATAGCCGTGCCTTTGTATCAAAGGGATTCAAACTGTGAGCTTGCAATGATAGAGACGTGAATAATTGTGTCCAAGGTGTTAAAGAAAGTTCTCTATCATTGCAAGCTCATCGTTCATATTGCTTTGATGCAAAGGAATGGCTACCTTTCAAGATGGTGCAGTGAACTGTGAAAGGGACTATTAGCTTTTGAAAATGTAATTGGATTCTGTCCCTGGGCCTGTGGTAACACACACAGACTTGATGCAATAGCCCACTTCAAGATATGCTTAACTTGTCACACAAAGGTTTCAGTACCAGGCTATGTGCTAAATTAAATCATTCTTTTCTCCTGTACCCTTATCCTCACATTATCTTGCAAGTGGGTTATTCCTTGTAATGCAATCTTTGCAGAAACTTTGCAGAAAATTCTAGTTTCATTGCAATACTCATTGCACTCCATCTTGAACTGACGCAATGAAATGCGATCATTTGCAGAAATTTTGCAGTGGTCAGACATGCTCATGTTACAAGTTCCATTGCTATACTCATTGCAACCTATTTTGAAATGTCATGAATAAAATAAAGCAATAATAGACCGTTTTCTCAAGGTTGTGTGCGAAACCAAATTTAAGCAACTTGATGGGCCACGATACCAGAACAGGAGCTTTATAATGACAATTATCATACATTTCTATGATTTTTTTTCGATAAGAATTCATAAAATCGATTATTCTCCTCTTTAAATATAAAACTGGCTTCTCAATTTTACTGAATTTGCATTTTTCAATTTTGTGGCCCGTCAAGTTGGATGAGAACGCAACCTTGAGAAAACGGTCTATTGCAGAAACTTTGCCTATTGATCCGACATGCTCATGTTGCAAGTTTCATTTACCTTCATTGCTATACTCGTTGCAACCTATTTTGAATAAATGCAATTGCAGAAACTTGCACATTAGTCAGACATGCTCATGTTGCCATTTTTATCTTAATATAGCAACCAGTTTTGAATTGACTTGAAGAAAATGGAGTAACTGGGCAATTTGGTTACATTTTGTTGCAAGTTGCAATGCCATAGTCATTGCAAACTTTCTTGAACTGAAGCAAAGAAATGCAGTCACTGCAAAGACTGATTATTGGTGATAATGGTTACAGTATAATGGTGGTACGATTTTGAACCAGACATTTTTTTTATGAATGATGTTCTTGTTAGTATAAGATTGCATTCCTTTTGGTCTTCCCAAGAACAACAAACTGAATACAGTTATAGGATGTTTGCATGATGGAGTCATTTGACTCTCACTACCAAGATGCTTCAAGTGAGTTTTCTTATTTAAATTGTATTCCCTCATGAGAATAGTAAGACAATGGGTGCTAATTAACTGAACAAAAGAAAGTGTGCAAGGGAGTCTGGTAGTAGAGGTCAATGACACCATCTTGCAAACATCCTATCCCAAGAAATAGTAATTTTTTATGTGTACAGTGGCTGTTAGATGTTCTAAAAGCCAGGCTTTTGTTTCTTACTAGAGGCTAAAGCAATGGAATTAACACTCATTCCTATTCCCATTTCTTTATTCAATTCCCATTACATAACTAGCAATAGAAATGAGAATGTATACATCGTGTTTTACTCCTTGAAGCTCTCAAAGTCCAAAATGTTAATAATGGTGGATTTTCTTTTCTCAATGTTTAGCATTCATTATCGTAGGTAATTCATACAGGTCACCGCATTTGAACATACATAATTTTTCAGATACGATTGGGTGAGTAGTATAGGGGATGGGGGTTCCAGCGCAACGACCACCGGAGGATTACCCGTCTAAAGTGAATTCCTCGATTCGTACCGCGATTACCCGCATCCCGTGTTTATGTAGTTAAATATGTTAGTCTATATATGGAGTGCGAAGATTGTAAAGAGTTTGCTTATGATTTCTGTGTAAAGTGCTTGAAATCCAAGTTTGTACCTACTAAGCCAAATAAGTATATTTGTTGTGGTAAGAAAATGCAAATAGAAGACGACACGTCAGCACAGTGTTACGAATGTGGTAAGAATATTCGTAATGCCGTACCAAATGCTACCAGAGAGCAATATTACGCCAATGGAGGTCGCAAGAAAACACCTTATAAGAGAATAAAATACTT